AATAATATCTGTTCGTATGTGATAAAAAATCGGTAAATAACGCTGGTAAAAACTTACGTGTTCAATTCAGTTGTCGTACACAGATAAAAAGCCGGAATGCTAATTTATGTTTAAAATTCAGTCAAGTTTTTAACAGTTACAATATATAATTGTCACATTTTGCATATATATCCCTTTTATTATGCATATTTATTTCTCAAAATGTATCATTTTCTCTGTAATTGATCTGACTTGAAACGTTAACTTTGAAAGTAAACATCTCCTTTTTTGCAAATAAAATCAAAAATCTGACAAATACGATCTCTTCTGAAGTCTTTTATTTAGCATTTCTGAGCACTGGTATAATTGCCATACTTTCCAAAACTTTGCACGGACAGTTTTTGTAGACCCATCATTTTTGCCGAAAAATCGCCATTTTTTGTGTGTGTGCGCATGCGCGGACTCTATTTTTGGAGTCTTTTTCAGTCTCAATTTCTTACTTCCGGAAACGTTGTTTTTGGAGTTCGTCTAGACTGGTAGGTAGTCTGAAGATATATATACACGGTCCAATTCATTGCGAAACACTGAAAAAGGCAATCATGAACTGAATCTCACATTCTTTCAAACAGACACTTTCACATGTTTTATTTGATGAAAAAGCATACATCTAAATCAAATTTGAGTGAGACTGATAAATAAATTATGACAAGTTTACGGGGGCAAAGGTGCAGTGCTTGTTTTAAAATGCAATTGAAATTAGTTGAATTACTACAACACATTTTTTTTTCCTTTACCATGTTTATGGGTAAATAATCAAAATATCATTGGACTACAAAGCTTATTGAACCATTGGCATAATATTCACCATATTGTTACTCAATAACATTTTTTTGTTAATTTTACCACTTCAATCTTCTTATCACCATTATCACCACAAGCATTGCTGAAAACAATTCTGATGAACATGATGAATGAAGTCTAACAAATTAATAAAATAATATTCGATATGATGATACAGGAATGAATATTATGCTATGCGTATATTATTTACGAATGTGTATAATTAAAACTTACAATTCGAAGGAATTAAGATCAAAGAATTATGATTATATTATTTACTGATTTAAATTTAGTGTATTATATCTCTTAATCGATAATCAATTTGATAATCAAAATCTTAGAGTGAAGTAATTAAAAGTAATTTAAAAGTATTAATTTTGAGTACACATGTACTTTCTTATATTACACAGCCTTCAGCATTTTTGCAATGCTACCGTGCACTTGCATGAACACAGGACTACCAATATCAGGGTGTCCCTAAGAATCAAAATAGCAGGGGACAATGAAGGGGTCTCGGGTTATACCTCTAACAGGGTACCAGGTTAACCGGGACATTATCTCATTAAAGGCGAGGAAATTTCCCGGCCCCCGTGTCTCAGGGACAACCTGTCAATATTATGTAATATAAACAGGAAATGGCAGGTATCGATTGGCGTGAAGCCGAATTCTTGAATATATGACTGTCTTGGTTTCGATGTGCCGCTATTGGACGGTAATTTTATAAGGTGTGAATTCAGCCCCGCGGGTGAATTTTGCAATCGATTTTCAATCAAAGGTGTAAATTGAAAGATCGATAGCATGACTGTGATATTTTTAATCTTTGAATATTTGTACCCCTATTACATGATTTCCGTGCAGTTGCATGGGATGAAATAGTATTTACCGGTTTCAAGAATAAAATAATCTATCGAAATGCCAGTATACCTGACGTACATATAATTTGCATACAGTATCCCATAACGCAAAAGATTTGTTTTGAATACATTAAATGGATTGGAAACAAGTTTATATAACTTCGTAAGTAGCAGATGCCCGTAGACCCCCAACCACCCCCCCCCCCCTCCCCCCAAAAAAGATGAAAATAAATCAATGGCTTTATATGTTAATGAATTAGTTTAGCCATATGTAGTTTAATTTTTTATTCAAAGTTTCTCGATAATGTCATATTTATCAGATGTTTATAAAAGCATTTAAGGTCATGACAGAAAATAAGAATTTTAAACATAGCTGGGTCATTTTTTAAAAAATATGTACAATTTCGTTTAATGTTTGATGTGTTTAGAAATTTGATATTTCTATCAACCAATTAAATGATTAAATTCAAAGTCTTTTGGAATTCCGATTTCCTTGTCTCAAAAATACAAATTAAAGTAATGATCCGGTTGGGAAGGGGTGGTGGATCACAGTCATGCTTTCGTGAACAATGACAATGCTGATTATCGGGTGTAAACAGAAGTGAACACCGATAGCAGATACAGGTTCATCGATGTGAAGTGGATGTGTTCGTATAGGAAAAGACTTGGGGGGGGGGGGATATGCGATCCAATGCGTTTGCCATGCTGAATTAATTTTTTGTTTTGAAAGATATAGATGTCTTGAATTAATGTGTTGTAAAAACAAGGATTAAGAAGAAATTACTGATTAGTTTTTTTGCATGTGTACTTTGGTTTGCTGAAAGCCAAAAAAAAAAAGGAGAATATAATTATATATTTAAAAAAATTAGACCAGAATTATAAAGGTTCAGTCTCTGCTCTGTTCTCTACTGCACATAAAAAATACACAAGGTGTATTTTTATATGTGTAATAGAGAACAGCGCGGATAAGATGCCCCTGTGGTTCAGTGTCACAGTCTACGATAATATGAAAAGTTAGAAAATATCCGACCCCCTTCTATATTGTTATGTTTGCTAATTGCTCTACATGTAATTAGGAGCTCTCGAAGATTCAATCCCGTAAAATAAAAGATTCTGAAAGCAAAAATCTATTTAAGAAAGATAATCAAAGAAAAGAAAATATAGGAGGGGGGAAGACCTCTGTGGGCTAAATATCCATAAAGTGCGGAAAACCAAGTGGGACAGACAGACAGAGGGACAGACAGACGGACGGACAGACAGACAGACAGACGGACAGACTCGGAGGAAACCTATAGTCCCCTCCGGTTTCACCGGTAGGGGACTAATAAATCAAGGTGATTTTAAATTGACAGGAAATGATGTTTGTAGAAAAAATTTAATGTCAACAACATATCTCTTTTATTTTAGGGGGAAAAGGAGAGACGGAAATATTTCGATCTAACTATAAAATATATAATTATTTTCTCGAAACTTTTTACAAATAAAACTATAAGAAGTAAAATCAGACCATGTAAGCAAAGTCGATCAAAACATCATCGAAATAGCCCACATAGCCACTCCGGCCATAATCAGATAATTATAAAGCCATCCAAGATCGCCCAGGTGTGATTCTGGATTTTTCACTTATATAATATTTCAGTCATTCATGTATACATGTAGATTTTATTAGTCCCCTACCGGTAAAACCGGAGTGGACTATAGGTTTCCTCTGAGTCTGTCCGTCCGTCCGTCTGTCTGTCCCTCTGTCTGTCTGTCAGTCTGTCCCACTTGGTTTTCCGCACTTTTTTCCTAAACGCTTGCAGATATTGAGCTGATTTTTGGTATGTGAGTGTATCTTTATGAGTTACAGATCAAGTTTGAATTTCGTTCCGCTTCATTGATTTTTGACGGAATTACGGCCTTTTCATTTTTTACGGGTTTTCCGCAATTCTCTTCTAAACGCTTTCAGATATTGAGCTGATTTTTGGTATGTGACTTTACCTTGATTAGTTATAGATCAAGTTTGCATTTCGTCCCGCTTCATTGATTTTTGACGGAAATATGGCATTTTCAATTCTTAACGGGAACCAGATTACACTTGCCGGTAGGGGACTAGTATTGCTAATGCAATAATCTCAGAATGCTTGTTTCGCTGAACATTATCTTCTGATCAGAAAAAAAAATAAATAAAAAAATATAAAAAAAAATCTGTATTTTTCCGATTTAAGAATCCTCTGTGTTGTTCATGTTTTAGTCTAGTTAGAATAATCTAACTGTGTCTCGGGACAAGCCCTCACCACTTAGAATACGTCCCATATACTTGCAATGAACAAATCGGAGTGGATCCACTCCGAAATGATTTTGAAGAATACAGAAGGAGTTGCACTGAAAATAACTACCAATTTAATCATAACAAACCTTTTTGAGATTGTATACGCCTTTTAACTTAAAAAATAATCCATATAAATACGAATATTCAACTCATTTTTCCTCGCTTCAAATTTAACGCCATGTTGACATTCGGAACTCACTGGATTGTTCATAGAAAATGCACAGAGTTCGAGTTATCGCCCGTGTTTATTTTGCAACATTGCCAATACGCGGAACGGATTCTATCGTTAAACCGGGTCCGTAGGACAATATCATAGAACGTTCTATCTAGTTTTAGTCAACACTTGGTCCAAGTCAGAAGAGCGCTTTAAAAATTGAACAGAAGAGAAACACCTTCGTGTCACCTGTCGATTATCGTATCTTGATGAAAGCACAGGAGTCGGCAATTTTATCCATAAAACAATGTAAACACTAACCAGTGAACTTCGCGAGCGTAGCGAGCGAAGCGACAGGAATGCAACGCGTTTTTGGCGAATTCTGCTCTGGCGCTTTATTTAATAAAACTAACAACAACACGCGGTATAATTCTTGTCAGTCGACGTTTCTAACCAGATATCTGGTCCGATTACCCTCTGAATTGCCGTAATTGAGCCTAAAATCTAACATAAACAACTCTTCCGAAAGAATCAGTCGCCATGAGGGTTTTCGAGTGAGTCACGATTCACTGCTGAACTATATTTGGGTTGAACTGAAAGTAATATATTTAAAAAAAATAAAAAAAACGTTCAATCTATGAATTGTTTGTGTTGTTTATTTTTTAAAGCAATTATGAAGCAATAAATGTTTTTTAAATGAATGTAAATTTTAATTAAGTAAATGAGCACATTTGAAAGTAAAGGGAGATAATTTAAACGAAAACACAAAGTTGAATTGCGGGATTTTCAAATGTGAAGAAAGAAAGATGTCCAACAACTTTTCAGTAGCTCTTTGGTAAGGATTTTTGATATACAATTTCAATAGGGAACCGGAGTCGGTTATCTTATCTTGTATCGGTAGGGGGCGCCACAGGAAAATGCGGTCCATTACAAAATTGATAAAGCCTGAGAAGATGGATAATCAGCATCCATTCTCGAATACGATATCGCAGATCATACACGTTTCATTTACTATCTTTTACTTACTATGGCATCTAATTGTGGTGATATGACCATACCCGAACTTAGGAAAGAGTTAGAAAAGTTTGGAGCAAAGAAATCAGGAAGGAAGTGGGAACTTGTGGAGAGGTAAATAAACATACGATGTTTTCATGCAAATCCAATGTAAACATTATCAATAACACAGTAAATCATTATCAATGGTGTGTAAAAGGTTTAAAATTAGTCAATCTAATAGTGAATAGCAGAATTACCTGCTCTAAGAAAGTAATTCTTAAATAATCTGTAGCTTTAGCGTATAAGATTTTTAACTCGAATTTCCTCGGTAATTCCAACGTCGATGTCATATTGCTTGTTGCTTGCAGTAAAATAGGAATACTTCTCTACATTTTTATTATGATGCAGTATTATCATTTTCTGATAGTTTCAACTCTGTTTTACACAAAAAAATGCATGAAAAAGAATTTTAAAAGCTTATTTCATTACAGACTTGAAGCCTACAGAAGAAATGCACATTGTGCTAGGACCGATGTCTCTGGACCTGAATTTATGATGATGACGCCAGATCCACAACTCTACAAGGACCTTCATGGCGACAAGATTTTTCCAGGATGCACCAAGGCAGAAATTTCCACTTTCTTGTCAAAGTTTAATAAGACAACTGATAAGAAAGGAAGGGATATGTATAACGATGGATTTATCCAGTATGTGAGGGTGACATTTCATGATTCACATTGGTTTGTTAGAAGCAGTGTAAAAGCTTCAATGATGAAGTCTGTGAAGTACGTTGTTGATATTATGATTGGAAAAGACAGAAGTGTTGTGGAGTCTCAATGTGAGTGTGCAGCAGGTATGGGACCCGATGCACATTGCAAACATGTCTGTGCTGTACTTTTTTCATGTGCAGATTTTGTTAAGCATGGGACTTATAAAACGGAACTCACCTGCACACAGAGATTACAAACTTTTCATCGTGCTAAGCCCCATAAAGGAAGCCCTTTGAAAGCAAGACAACTGGACATGCCAGGCTGTGACGAAGTATGTAATAACGACTATGACCCTCGTCCAGTTGAATTTAGAGGCAATCCGGGATACCAGTCTCACTTTAGAAATGTGTGTCTGAATTACCAAGGTATAAGTAGGACCCCAATTTTTCAGCTGTATGAACCAGTAAATATGAAAGCTTACAACCTGGATCATGACTATCTGAAAGATACATTTAGTGAGACTCATTTGAAACTTTTGAATGTATCAGAAATTTCAGAGGAGAGTGCACGTCAAGTTATGGTAAAAACAGCAACACAAGCGGCCAGTGACCTTTGGTTTGAGGAACGTTGCAAACGTCTGCATTCCTCAGTGTTCGGTAGAATATGCAAAGCAACTGATCGAACTGATAAAGTGAAACTTGCTGACTTCCTAACAACAAAGGGACAAAAAATCAATGCCAAACCTATTCTTCATGGAAGAAAATATGAAAAAGAAGCTGTGAAGAAGTATCAGGAAATTTCGGGACGCACAGTTTACGACAGTGGAATTTGTGTCAGTCTGGGGTCTCCTCATTTAGCAGCAACCCCAGATGGCATTATTGATGATGACACCTTGATAGAAGTAAAATGTCCATATGTGGCCAGGAACAATTTTATTTCTTCAAAAACAGTTCCTTATATTAAGCAATGTGGAAATAAATTTCATCTGAATAAATCCCATGACTACTACTATCAGGTCCAAGGACAACTTTTCTGTGCAGAGAAAAAGGAGTGTATATTTATTGTATACACTTTCAATGATTTTCTGTTCTTTGAAATTGAAAGGAATGATAAATTTATTGATGAGATGAAGATAAAATTGAATCAATTCTATGAAGATTTTTTTAAGTCTGCTCTATTGGAAAAAACATTTTTCAAGACATATGATGGTAAATGTACTTGCAATAAAAGATGAAACATGAACTAAGGCTTTATTCTCTTTTTCTTTTTATTCTCATTTTTATTGGTGAATTATGCATAAGATGGCACTATGCAATTCTTAAAATTACATAACATGAAACAAACATAAATGATTTCTGAGGAAAGTTTTGTTTCAGAGCTATTCATAGGCTCTGTCAGAATTTTGAATGTTTTTGCAAGTCCAATGATTCTTTCAATGTGCACACGTTTGCTGGATATTTTTCTGTCCTCTATCACAGTAGCACAGGACATTCTGTTTTTCTTTTTGAAAAATGTCGGTGTATTTATTTGAATGTTCCTGTGTATAAACATATCCTGCACATTAAAACCTTTGTCCGCCATTATTGAGTCCCCGGAGTTACACATTTCCAACAGCCTACTTCGTTCAACTATTTGACGGTCACTTGTTGATCCCCCATATGCTGTTGAAATGTAAGATGTTAATCCACCTGGTGTCGCCCCGACAAGAACTTTTACTGTGTTACGGTTTTTATAAGTAGAATAAGTCGCTTGCTGTGGCTTTGGCAATTTTGGTCTTTTAATGGGACACTCTGTACCATCTATTATCACTCTGGTATTTGGAAACTTTGTTCTAAAATCTGACGGACAGTAATATTTCACAAGATACTTTGTAGGCCAAATGTCAATTTCCTGCCATTGCTTACTCATGAATAAAATCCATGTAAAAAATATATTAGATACCGTTTTTTCAGACACTCCAAATAATCTTGAAAGTTCAAAATTGGTTGTATGGCGCCGTAACTTGCAGAGGACTAAGAAAAACTGGTCAGGAACACTAATGTTTGAAACCTTATGATAAATATAATTCAAACAGTGAGCTGCAGGTCCTAAGGTTCTTAAAACAAAATAAAATTTAGTGAGAGTTTCCAGTCCAGTATAGAAATTTATTCCAGCATCATCATTTGTAAAGTTTTCAATACTCATTGGGGGATACCGAGGAGTTTGTGTCTCTACATTATAAAATTTAATGTAAGATTTCTGAACAGGGACTTGAATTTCTTCAGCAAAAATTTTGGTAGAGCTAGATACAGTTTCCTCAGATACTTGCAGATCATCAGTTGACGTATAGATGACTTCATCTACAGAAGGCAAAGAAGAAAATTCATCTGCTAGTTTTCGTTTGATGCCTCTAGACTTGGCTCTGTCAGCTCGTTCAAGTGAATGTTGACTTGGTTCTATCCAGGAAAAAATGCTTGGCACTGCACTTTTCTTTAATCTTTTACTTAAAGGAGTAGTTCCTAAAAATTAAATGATTTATTCAATAATTTTAAATGGTTTTAATTTATTTAATTATGAATTTAATGAAGCACTAAATTTTGTATATGTTATGCATACTTAAATATTCCTTTGTAATAAGAAGTTAAAAAAGTTTTCATAGAAAAGCAAATAAAGTTACTAAATATATTTATTATTATTTATGAAATTGATATTTACGAAACATGCACATGTGTTTCTCAATTCAACTGAAATCTGTCAAATTTGTTTGTAAGCAGAGTGCTAATTAAACATCAATGTCAAAACACAGTATCTCGTACTAGCAGATATGCATAAATTATCAGACAACAGCATGTGTTCTTTTAGACATACCTTGTGTTTATACTATTAAGAGATAATGGGTTGTAATAAATGACCAGTAATTGAAGTTGTCAGTGGGGAGTCTGCATGTGGCAGTTTCTGTAGCATTATCGGATTACTTCGAATGAGACGTAAACAGATACTAGTAAACAGACGATCCGATATTATTTGTGCATTTTATCTAAGTAAATGAGACATAAATATTGCACAAAATAAAATCTATAAACATAACTTTGCACATGTGTTTATCAAAAAGATTTCAAGATGATATAAAAATGTTACCATGCTGAGTTTCCGTCAAATAGTCGTCTGATTTAAAATGTGCTCTGCAAACAACAGCATGAGTTGACGGAGTCCAGGTTTGGAAACGAGTCTCACCACGTTTTATTGCATGTATCCATGCTTTTCTTCTTAACGGGTCTGTTGGAAATATGTGACCACCCCGATTACTACAATTCGGCACACAACAACAAGTTTCAGGCATGTTTTATAGGCACGTGTTTGACAGCAGATTGTTTACGTTTTTCTTCGATCGGTAACTACAGATAAGGCGCGAGGGTGTTCCGATATAGGACCGTGTTTGCCTGTGGCGCCCTCTTATGAAAAGATAACCGGAGCAGGTACCTTATTGTATTATTAAATTTTAAAGGACTGTAATTTTGGTAAAGGATGAATGGGCACACATCCATTTTAAATTCTTTTTTTATTGAAATATTTTTTAGGCCTGTATCATTTATTTATGAATTCTTAATATAGAATGCATGAAATCACATATAACCCCCAAACATACACAGACAAAAAATTACAAAGGCATAAATATTAAAATGGAGATAAAAGGATGGACTCAAATTTTTAAAGGATAAAGAAAAAATAACCATGACAAGCATACAAAAAATATTTTGATGAAATAACAAGGAATTCATTGAATGGCTGTGTGCCCAACCTCTCTTAATCTTATATATATAATTTTTTCTTTCATAATTTCTGCAGGCTACACTGAATATTGTTTTAATCCCATTATCTTACATCAATATTATAATAATGATATTCAGTTGAATTATTACTAGTACAGCCAATTCACAAAAGTAATGGTAATGAACTATTATAGGTAGTACCTAGCTTCCAGTCTCACTCTATTTAAAAAGAAAATGGGCCAATTAGATCAACTAAAAAATAATGCGTGTAATTGCCCTCTTCCAACTCTGGATGAAAAATTTGGGTCGGTTTGTAGGTATATATATATATATATATATATATATATATATATATATATATATATATATATATATATATATATATATATATTAAAAAAAATTCATATTAATGCTGAATTTTCCAAATCTGTTTTCAGGAATGCATAAAAAAAGTAATTGTTTCCTTGCAGAGGTTAAAAAAAGGCTTTGAGTTGGGCCATTTTAGCCAGTCGGTCAGGAAAGGGCAACCAAACAGTTTTTTTAAACATAGCATTATCATTCATTTTTTTTTTTTTTACATTTTAGAATTCACCCAAGAATCAAACAATAACACCTATCTTTTTATCAAGACAAAAATACATTTTAAAAGAAAAAAAAATTACTTATTAATATGAATTTTTTTTAAAACCCTAAAATCATTCCATGGGATATGAAAACTTGGAATGATCTATATATTACTGGCATCATAACAAGTCATTTCACCCTCAATGCTCTTATAAATTAATCCAAACACATCAATAGGTCAATGGGCCATGTCGCTCAAACAAGCACTTTATCTAGGAAATTCAGAAGTGGTCCCAACATACTGCCTAAAAGGGGGAGGGGGGATTTGAACAAACTTGAATCTACAACCTGAGGATTTGATCGTGCATGTCTTATCCTACACCCAAGGTGTCATTATTTGAACAAACTAGAATCTATACTATACCTTAGGATGTTTCCATATCATTTTATACACATTTATAATGATATCCACATATATATGAGCAATAAACCTGTTTCAATTAACTTATACTTTTGCCATCAGCCATAATCAAAATATAAACATAGTACTTACAGAAATATATCAAGGAACATATAGTTCATATACATGTACATGGAAAATGTACATTTGATCAATTAAATACACGTGTATTCATTATGCATGAAAATACAAATTCAATACTGGAACTTGATCTTTTAGTAAATTAGCAATTGACTTCAGGAAGTGCTCAAACACCTTCATTGATCCCTCTGCTGAAAAAAAATGCAAATTACAATTCTCCACACTGGTTACTCACATGTATTTATTTATTGGAAGAACTTTTCCCTTTCCCTCTGCCCTTTCCCTTCCTACTGCACCCACTGCAATACCATGTTGAATTTTGCTTTTGAAGAAAAGGTTCAGTTCCCTTAAGTTTAACACATTTATAATGATACCATCAGTTACATTTATCACATGCAATGCTTTCACTCTCTTTTTTTGTTGGTTCCCATTCACATTCACTGTTATATACACTACAATTAAATAATTCACTTTCAGTTTCTGGAACATCTACTTTTGATTTCCTGGATGCATCCCTCTCACCCAGTGCCTGTACTTTTGTCCGAAGTGCTTGTTTTTTTGTTTTGTTTTGTTTTGTTTTTTTTTTTACGAGGGACAGTTCTTTTAAAGTTTTTTAGTGCATCCACATAGCATATCTCAATGAAGTGTTCTGTTACATCTCGATACAATTCCATTATTAAAGATAAAAAAATTTCATCTTCAACTTCATCAGCAGATTGCTCAGTAGATGTATTTTCAAAAAGAGAAATCCACTCTTCTATTAATGATGTGTCCAAGTCAACACTTGCCCTAACTCTACTGTGCAAGTCCTCATGATAGAGATGAAAATGCTCACTGGAGATATTTCTCTGTACAGTTTGACTCAGGGAGATGAAGAAAGAGAACACAGGCTCACTAACAATGGTTAGTCCATGTGTAGGACCTTGTCTGGTCTCAATTTCTTTCATACTATCATCCTGTAAATCAGCTTCTTCTTCCCTGATTCTAAAACTCCTCAACAAGGCTTGCTTTTTGTACTTTCTAAGGAATTTATTTCTTTTTGAAGTTTTTCCAATCTTCCTCAAAACGGATTCTCTTACCCTTGTCGCAATTTTTTGTTCACAAGCTCCAGCCAGATAGCTCAACTTTCCTCGTGCTGCAGAAGATAAATCCTTTGGAATTTCAATGTTCTTAGCTTTTTCAGTCTGCTTTTTAACAACATCTTGCGCTTTCTTAGAAAGTTCCTTCTCAAGTAACCAAAATGTCAATTTTGTTGATTTGTTTTCTTTATTGGTCAAATCAGAGGTCTTGAACAACTTCTTAGCAGAGGACAGATGCTTCTCTCCAACAAGGAAATTGTTAAGTTTGCCATAAGCCTGAGTCCATCCTTGGGAAGATTTTGGATTGTCCTTTAAAATCTCACAAACTTCAAAATAACGGAAATGTAAATGATGTGTGAATGATTGCGATTTAACAAAAATCTGGTAGAAAGTCATTCATGAATGTGGACGACTGATTTTCTATGATGAATTCATTTATATCCCAAGGTGACTGTAACTGAGGTTCTTCTAACTGATGGTCATGTTCCATATCACGTAAATCAAAGGATGATGTAGAAGGTTCAGTATCCAAAGTAACATTTGAATCCTGGTAATCTGGCACACTAGGGTAAACTTGTTGTTTTTGACAGCATACTAAATCTGTGGAAAAGTCTGAAAATTCTCTATCGTAAAAGTCATAAACAATGTCAGAGTGTCTTGTAAATGCTGCTTTTCTGTTGAAGTTGATGATTCGTAGACCACTTGTGGTTGTGGCTCTGCCAACAGCTACCCCCATCCGACCAGGCGCAATAAAAGAATAACAGTCCACCTCCACCAAATTCAGTGTTTGCCCCTGGGCCCTATGAACTGTTAATGCAAAAGCTAGAATTACTGGAATTTGTGTCCTACAGGCTAGTGTCTTTTCCTGCTGCATATCATAGACATCAAATTTGACATCACTTAATGGTACAAGGTTACCATCAAAATTTATCACAGGGGGTGTGTCCTTTTCTAGATAATGAACAATGCCTTGCTTCCCATTGCACAAATCCTTGGAAATGTTTTTTATCAATATCACTTTGGCCCCGACTTTCAAAACTAGATGTTTTGGAGCTATACATTTACGAAGCAGTGTAGTATCACCTAAAATAATGAAATGCATAATAAATATGATGTCATATTTTACAAATATGCTTCAAATTTGAAATTTCACTTAAAAATAATATTGCCTTTTAATCATATCAAGCCTTTGAATGCATAAAATGAACTAGGGATGGCAATTTCTTATCCGTTAACTAGTAACTTGGTTGGAAGGATAGTAATCTCAACTTTAATCAGTTAGTCAGAAAAAAATATTTGTGCAAATTAGAACAATTTCCTAAAAATTCAATCAATTAAAAATATCTGAAATTATAGCCTATTCTCATATCTCTTTAAGCTGTTTTAGAGTTAATCATCAGTATGTGCTAAAAGTTCTTTTCATGATTTGATATCTCAATTTCATATCTGACTGGACTTATCAGGAATTTCATTAAATAGACTACCTTCATCTCTTGCTTTAAAATGGAACATTTCCCCAGGAATTTCCTCCAACATATCCTGATTTACAACACTGGCATCAAAGTTGGTCCCAAACAACCGTGTAACCTCTTGGTCTTGAACATGTGCTTCAAAAGGCCTGTCCAGACTTTTCAGAAAATCTCCATTACAGAGTTCATTCACTGCATTTATTAAAATAGGCTCCTTTTGCCTAAAAGCTGAAAGTCCATAGTACATAATTAATCAGATTGTTACAGAAATAACAACTGACAAACAAAAGGTAATGCTAGTAGTGCACCTTGAAGTCAAGCCCCCCCCCCCCCTCCCTTCACCCACTTCATACTTTTCACACGGGGTGGTAAATTTTACTGCTTCTTCCAATAAATAATAGGTTTACCTGTACTCTCAGTGGGTCATTTATTGTCAATTTCATAGCTTTAGGATCTGCATAAGAGCACATACCTCCTTAAGGTTGATATGATGGGGAAAAGTCCGACAAAAGTTTGCACTTTGAAAACAGTAACTCCCATCATCTTGGTATCTGCTATTCGGCACAGGGGGCAACTGCTTAAAATCCCCAGATCCAATAACCTATGAATAGCAAACATACATACTTACATACAATAACATAGAATTATATGTTCATATATATGTATGAAGAATACATTTCCAAAACAAACAGGAATTATTCTTATTTCAACAAAACATAAATTGAATGAATTTACAGAGTTATGCCCCAGTTCCATAGTAATTCCCATAGTTACTTTATTTTGCTAATATATAAATTTACATAAATGGGCAGATAAGAAACATTGACTGTGTGTGTATGTAATTGACTGGACTAACAGTCATAAAACCATTATCCTTTCCTTCTAAATTGCTGCTGGGGGAAGGGGGGGGGGAGATGGGTAATATACCTGGAGTCCTCCAAATATGCTGTTGTTCTTTTTTATGTATCTGCAGACAAACTCCACCACGTCAAATGTTCTAGATGACAACATGCTGATTTCGTCTATGATAAGATAATCGGTTTGCAGAATTCTGGCTTTTGCATCTGCAAACCGATCATCAGTATCAATAAGATCCTGCAGGCATTCATGACTGTAGCGTCCGTCAAAAATGCCTTCCCAATAATGAAGTGTTGTTGCGTTCATCCCTAGCTGCAAGCTTGCCATCCCAGTGGAAGCAGTGATAGCTGTGACTTTGGTCTTGGCCAATTCTCTAATTATTCTCCTGTAACAGAGAGAGAAAAAATCAGTAATTATAATAAAAACAAAATGGCATTCTAATGACAAAATTATCATCTATGTTCAATATACACATACACAAACATTCAAAGCTTCTTACCTACCCATTTAATATATGTAAATTCATAGAACTAAATAAATCGACTTTGCATAGCACTTAATAAAATCATGAAGAGAGACAACAATGTTTTAGAATGAACCATGGTTATGAAAAGTTGAATAGAATCAATCAATAGTACACTCGTTAATCACTGTGACTCTGATCTTGCCTATACAAGTACTACTATTTATAATAATGATATACTAATAATTTCTTCATAAGTTCCTAATTGTTAATTATGCAGGTTGGCACTGAATTTAGAGGTTAAAAATGATGGCTCCCTTATTACTCTTTGGAGATCTCCATGATGCCTGCACTCAGTTCTTTTTAAAGAATTTGGGCACTCCAGCACCAAATAAAGATATGATAAGCAAACTCATTAAACGGATTTTTGATGTACAATCAACAACAACATGGTCCACCAAATTCATTCCTAGCGGGGGAAGGACAATTATATTCAAGAACATTGGTAATCGGAGTATGTGTTCTAATAACACTTTCCAGCTTCCGTTATTTTGTCATGCTATAGAGACAGAGCCATTCTTAAAAATCAGTTGTCCTCTACCAGTTGTTATTGATGGTGTGCAACAAAACTGTACAGTAGGATTTGAACCTGAAAATCTCTGGATAGAAATAAATGGAACCAAACTGTCAGCTGGCTTCCACGTTACAGTCACTAATTCTAATATTGTGGGCATAATACTATTAATATCCTCCATGAAATTATGCACCGGGGCCACAAAAGATAAGGGATATATGCCCAAGACATTTAAGGAAGAAAGAATTTCATCAACTTTTGACACCTGTGATAGACATGTGATGATGTCCAAACACCGTCGTGTTATCTTGGAATGGTTGACTTCTCAAGATGTATGTCTGTCATGCAACATTTCTAGGAGTAGGAAACACTATGACAAGAAAAGAAACCATTTGGAGGAATTCCAGAACAGTACTGACCTTAACAAAAATACGGATAAGTCTAAAGTGAACACTGAACCAGTAAAAGTTTCAAGAACAGTTATGGAAGACAAGGAGAATAACAATCCATTACCGTGTTTTTCGTCAAAGCCCGGGGTCTTAGGAGAAATAAGTAGAGACTTTTTCAGCAAGAGACAAACTCTTTACACAGTCAGATAAGATTTTGCAAAGTGAAAAGGATCAGAAAGATATGGAAGACATCATCCAGTATGTCCTTAAGAGTGACTTACCAGAGGACTTTGTGATTCTTCTAAAATCCCAGTTACAGAACTGTGATAAGAATATTGACATACACCAGCGAAGATGGGACCCGAAAATAATTAGTCTGTGCCTCACGCTGTATATAAGGTCCCCTCAGGCCGATGAAGATTTAAAGAAGTCAAATTTCTTACAACTTCCATCAAAACGCCTCCTCCAATACTATAAGAACTCCGTCAAACAGATTCCAGGTTTTAACCAAGCAAATTTAATATGGATGTCCAAAGAAATGCAGAAACAGAATGTGTCAGAGTTTGGCAGGCATGGTGGAATCATAATAGACGAGATGACCATACAGGACGATCTCATCATAACGAAATCAGGAGATACATGGAATCTAGTGGGTTTCGTAGATATGGATGAAACTAATAACAACATTGAAATAACAGGTTTTAGGTATGTGTAAAGGAAAATTTTACATATTATTTTACTACATGGCAACTTCCCCTTTGAAAATTTCTTGTTTCCAGGTTAATTTTGTTAATTTGTTAATTTTGGTGTAATCTTTCCATTTATAGATGGCCTGTTGTCTACTTTGGGTCCAACCCTGCAACTGCCTATCAGCTTTACACCACTTTCTGGAAGTGTGTGGATTTGCTTGGGGAACTGAATGTCTGTTGATTATGTGATGATGGATGGGGCATCAACAAACAGAACTTTTGCAGAAATGCTTTTCCCAGAGCCTCCGTCCACCTCTAACTTTATGTTCAGTGATGTATTCTTTCAGCAGCATAAAATATGCTACATTCAAGACATGCATGTTTTCAAAAAATTTAGATACAATATTGAATCCAGTAAGATAGAAAACAGAACTGGGACTTGGCGATATTTGATTCTGGATGACACATGTATTGTATGGGACCACTGGGAGGCATGTTTTCATTTCAATTTTCAAAATGGATTTTCCATCCACAGAAAGCTCACTGAAGAGCAGATTAACTTAACACCTGCATCCAAAATGAGGAATAAACTGGCTATACAGGTTTTAAATAAAGACATGCTATATCTCATGAAACAATATCAGATGACTCTCAACAACCCAGAAAACATTAGTGGAAGCATCCAACTTCTAGAGCATACTTCAGACATCATTGAAATCTTCTGTACCACTAGACAACCCATATTATCCCTAAATGACAAAAGGTTTGAAGTCATGACAAAAGTTTTGAAAATTTTCAATTCATGGGAAGAAACAGTGGAAAAGTCAGTCATGCTTGTTGGTTCAAAGAACTTGTTCACAAAAGAGACTAGGAGTGTCATTAATTCATCATTAATGGGTTTTTGTTCATTATGCAAAAACTTGTTGAATGGGAAAAATAGCATCAACCCTGGTTATATAAACTCTGATATTGTCGAAAATTTATTTGGACAACAACGTGGCCTCCGTAATGGATTAAATACAAATCCAACACTAGCACAATATGGTCCCTCCAATACAGCTATCATTCTGGGACAGTGCACAATCTCCAACAAGTCCAACTCCAGCAACAAGGCATCATTTTTTGCTGCAACAACCCCATGTGCCCTCAATACTGTCAGGAATAAAGCTAACAAATTGAAGAGGAGGGGTATTCGTTTGTAAAGGTACTATTTCTTTAAAAGTTATATTAAATGCATATGCCAATATAATTACTATACATTGACACACTGACTTTGTAGCCACCCACCCTTGCCTGAAGGCTTCCCACACCAGTCAAGTCCTACCACTCAACCCTTTCACCATATTACATGTACCTGTTGTTTATACCTGTGTTTGCACCTGTGAGTAACTATTTTGAATAGTGATATTCGTCTGCACTTTATACTCAGAAAGGCGACACTTAGGTAATATCCCCTATATTATTACATTGATGTCAGTGACAGGTTCCCCTCCCTGAACAATATACATACAATTTACACTTTACCATTACTTATAAAATTCACTGAACAAGAGTGATTAGAAATGTAAATAAACAGTTGAACAACTTTTCAGAATGAGTGAAAGTCCATATAGCATAAAGTTTTGTTTTTATATCTTTAAACTATTATATATTTTCAATACATAACTTCTTTATTTCTCAGCCATTCATTTAATTAAATTCTTGAATAATATATCAGAGTTTGACATTATGGCGGGAAGCATTCAGTGGTGAAAATATACAAAAAACTATATATACGATTCATAAGTATTTCAATCAGCCTTTATCTAGGAATATTATGCATAAATTCATTTTACCTTAAGAGATGCGTTTTTCCCGTTCCGCACTGCCCCGTTAACAGGAAACTATGCCCCTTTAACGCTCTGGAATATCCCTCCTCTCGATCCATGATTTTCCGGAAATTCTCAGTGTAGGTTTTGATTTTAGATGTTTTCTGTGACAATTCAGCAGTGAATCGTGACGTCACTCGAAAACCCTCATGGCGACTGATTCTTTCGGAAGAGTTGTTTATGTTAGATTTTAGGCTCAATTACGGCAATTCAGAGGGTAATCGGACCAGATATCAGGTTAGAAACGTCGACTGACAAGAATTATAACGCGTGTTGTTGTTAGTTTTATTAAAGCGCCAGAGCAGAATTCGCCAAAAACGCGTTGCATTCCTGTCGCTTCGCTCGCGAAGCTCACTGGTTACTGTTTACATTGTTTTATGGATAAAATTGCCGACTCCTGTGATGA